GGGGGGGGGGGGGGGGGGCAGGACTGGCCTTTCGGAGGGCCCCGCCTGGCCCTTTAAATCAAGACTTCCTGCCCTCTATTGGCTGAAACCACCCATAACCCCTTTTCTGCTCTTAAACTGCTCTACTCCCCCAGCCCTGAATCTCATCATCCCTCCTCCTGGAAGGTTCCTGCTTTGTTTCTGGAGTGGGAGGGGGGGTTTCAAGTGGCAGAACTGCTCAGTCTTCCAAGGTAAGAAAGAGGCTCTGGCGCTTCTCAGCGACTCTCTCTCAGGTGCGGTTGAGTTCACGCTTTTCCTGACTCTGCGGACTTGTTTTTCAAATTGTAGCTATTGTGACCTAGAAGTTGAGGTGTTTTTTTTCTTCTTCTCTGTTTTGAAATTATTTTTACTTTGTAGCATCTTTCTGCCAGGAAAATAAAATACAGAGGAATTAAAACAAGCTAACATTGGTGGACAAATTGAAGAAATATTTCCGTTACACTTTTTTATCATTTGGGAGGCAAAAGCCTTAAACTTGGTGATTAAATTATGTTTTACCTGCTTTTCTAATTCAAACAATTGTGTATTGGTGAAGAACAGGGACAAAAATGAGGCCATCCACATCCATCCAAGCATGATAGTTCTGGGTGGACCTGCATTCTAATTCTGGGTTATTTGTAGCAATGCCAGCTCCTTGCTTTCCTTCAGGTGTGGCTCTTTTGAGTTTCTGGTCCTTGGGTGTTGTTCATTTGATTGTGGACGGCAGGGAGCCCCCCCAAACTTTTACTAAGTGAAGAAAAAAAGGTACATTTTCTTGCTACCTTCTGTTAGGCTGGAAAGATTTGTGAACTGACAGAACGACAGTTTATAAAATGACACAGGGAGCTTCTTACTACCAAATGAGAGAGATTAAAAACACTGCTTTAAATCCCAATGCAGTTAAACATGAGCTAATACTGATGACTCCTGGGGCTTGTAGCCGCTGTACCCAAAGCAAAATTGGGTTTGCTAATTAAATTGGCCTGCTGGGACCATAAACCCCGGTCAACCACTTTGATTTGGCTCCATGCTACCTGACATTGGCTCTGAGCCGCCACCACATAGATTCATTCCTCTGAGACGGCCCGTTCCCAGCCAGGCCCTCCCGATACTGCAAGGCAGCCGTGGCTGCTAGGATCGAGTCGGTGGGTTGCAACTCTGCCTCCCAAGTAAAGGACTTCGCATTCGCCTGTGCTCCTGGGCCTGCTTCTCTAACCCACTCACAACAACGTCCACTTCTGCCTCTGTCCTCCGTCTGGGGGATGAGCCGAACTCTCCATCGTCTGAGCTACCGACGGAGGAGCAGTGGCTTCCCTTGTGGCACAAAGGCCCACCTCTCCCTCCGCCTGCTGGGGGTCTCAGAGGCGGCTTTTGGAGCAGCCGGGATCTGCCTCACAGACCTGCTTTCTGGCACGTATCTCTCCCCAGTTTGCTAGCGAGTGTCTTTGAGCGGCTCCTCCTTTCTTCTGCAGAATAATTTACAATCTCCATGCCTGAATGGGGAAGGAGAGCCCTAATGGACTCTGTCCCAAAGCATGTCCA